TTTATGAATCTGAAAGAACAGAGGAAGGCACTTCAGCCCATCTTATGCTGGCTTTTTGAAGGAGAAATCCGGTTATCCCCACTACCTTTGGTATTTCATCATAGCCCTGTAACATTGCAGCACCACAACGAACAGTGCAGCACAGGAACAGGCCCTTTAGCCCACTAAGCCTGTGCTGACACATGACATCTTTCTAAATGATAAACCCCTTGCCTCTACGAGGTCCGTATCCCTGTCTGTTTCCTCTCCACCTATCTTCTCCTATATCAATCTTCTATCCGCCTCTCCCTCTCTCCCTATTTATTTCAGAACCCCCTTCCCCTCCCCCATTTCTGAAGAAGGGTCTAGGCCTGAAACATCAGCCTTCCTGCTCCTTTGATGCTGCTTGGCCTGCTGTGTTCATCCAGCTCTACACCTTGTTATCTCCCATTATTGCCTGCCTATTTATACATCTGATAAGATGCTTCTTATGTTTTTCATTTTGACAGAGTGGATGTTGTTTTGGGAAAGGGAAAGGATAGGATATAGTTTATATAAAGCAATGTGAAACATAAAAATGTTCTTTTATTTTGTATCCTTGTTGATCAGCAAACTGGCTATTTGTTATTCAAACAAAGACTTTCCCCCTGATTTGAAGTAGCCACTGGATTACCATTGCAAGTGCACTCAGATCTTTGCAAGAAAAACTATTCCAAATTAAACAATGTGATTCCTAAAACTTCTCAAATTAAAGGTACAGAACTATAGCAGGACATTTTAATCCAGAGTTTATATTCAAACACATGCAGTACAACAAGTGATGAAAAGAGCAATTTTGGGGAATTTTTAAAAAGTTAATTGCAGACTCAAAATTTGAGACAGGTCAAATAGTTTCAGTAAACTTTTGAATACGGAATGGGCAAACTGCAACATTATAGATCGATTGCATGTCTATTGTCCGAGGGGAAAAATGTTAATTGATGAAATCTGAACCTTTTAAAAAAATGAAGAGAATTGATAATGTGATACAGCAGCATTCTGTGAAGAAGGACAGGAATACCAAAGAGGGCAAGGGATCAAATTTCTCTTTTACTAAAAACAGGGATGAATGAGACCATTTGCTTCAAAGTTCCCTACTCTTGTAGGTGGTATTTTTATATAGAGGAACTCCCTTCTCTCTCTCTTTATCTCGCTCTGTCCATCTCAGATCATAAACTGAAGAAGTCAAAAATGAAGAAATCATTTCTTCATCTGCAGAGAGTTATTTGGAAATAGTCCAGCCCTGTGTATGCTAAATATTGACTCTGTTTAACCAAGAAGGGGACAGAATGAGCAAGATTTGTGAGAGAAAGAAAATTAGCACAAGGGAAGCACAAATCAAAGTTGTTGGTTTTCTCTCTCCCAGTCTGAATGAAGGAACATTCCCACGTGGGCATGGGTAGCGAATAAATCTAATTGTGCATGAGGCAGTAGCCAGGCTGGATGGGCTCAATGGTCTCTTCTTGTTCTGAGATGCATATTAGGGAATGAAAGGAGTGTGTTTTTCTGTGTGGAATGGCTAACTCTGCCAAGACAGCCTATAAAATTTCCAGGTGAAATTTTATAAGCCAATACACATGAAAGAGTTGTACCACAGGGACTGACTTCTAAAGACATGACGGGTTATAAAATGAAGATGTGAATAAAATAAGCTCGAAATTGCTTATGGAGATTCAATTAGCACACACATGACTCTTTGAAAAGTGTAACAAAAAACGGTTTACGTTCAAAATTGGATTCTTTTCCACATTTGCTAAATTCCGGAGGAAAGAAAGTCCAGAACGTTTCACGTCACTGTGGCAACAATATGTAAATATATGGAGACAACAGGTGCAGGGCTGGATGAACACAGCAGGCCAAGCAGCATCATAGGAGCAGAGAGGCTGACGTTTCGGGCCTAGACCCTTCATCAGAAAAGGGGGAGGGGAAGGGGGTTTTGAAATAAATAGGGAGAGAGTGGGAGGTGGATAGAAGAGGGATAGAGGAGAGGATAGGTGGAGAGGAAACAAACA